CTTTGACTTTCAGTCTATGAGTTTCTTTTTGAATTAAATGTGCTTCTTATATGCAGCATTTGGTTCGACCAGTCTGTTTCTTTCTTTTTTCCCCACAATGATAAGCACACTTTTTATGGATTTGTTTAGGTCAGAAGGGGCTGGGTAGAAAGGAGAGGAGGCAGGGAGATGAATGTGCTATGTACCAAGAGAAATGACAAGAGACCACTCCCTCATTTTGTTCTTCGTGGTTTCTTTCTCTTTACTTTCCGCATCCTCAGGATATGTATGCCACGTCAGTTTCTCTTCATAAACTGCTATCACAATTTGTGGACATTTCATACTAGCTTCTTTCACAAGAACCAGGTCAGCCTCATCTGTGTCTTTCCATTTCATCAGGAACATTTAGTCACCACAAGAATCTGTTGCTCCAATAATCTTTTCCGGTCCCAAACCTCTCTCCAAGCCCCAAGCAATATCATTGCTTTGCTCTATCTTTTTCTTGGATTTGATATCAGCACAATGATGATATCATTCAAGAAATTAGATTTCCTCTTGTCACCTTCTGACTTCTACCTGGGTTTATTATTTTTACCCTCCTTCATCTTCTTATACTTTTTCATAAACTCAGAAATAAGTTCAGGGCAATCCAAGTTTTTCTGTGCTTCCCAAGTATTATGCCCCTCAGAAAAGCCTGTCCACATCAGCAGGTACTCCACTTGCCCCTTAACCACTTGCCTCACACTTTGTCCACGACTTACTTCTCTTCATCCTCTGAAGAACAGTGAGATGTCTTCTTGGTTTTCTTTCCCATGTCACACACTGCTCTCCCTACAGTCACTCATGCATACCCATGTTTATAGCAACCAAATTCATAAAAGCACAATCTTGAAAATACACATACATTACTCAAAAAATGAGTGGATAAAAATATGCTATTTGTGCACATTGGAATTCTATTCTGCCATAAAGAAATGTAAACTTCACTCATTTGTAGGAAAATCGTGCACTATGAGATCATAATGTTAGGTAAATAAATCAAACACATGGGCTTAAGTGGAATGTCACATAACTTCTCTTATGTGAGAAACCCAATAGAAATTAAAGAATAAAATAAAAGATGGACCACTGAATATAGGTCTTTTGTAAATTGGAATTGGAACTATAGATAGAGGAAGGGGGAGGGAAGAGGGGGAAAAAGAAAAAGGAAAGAATTAAGATACATGCTGCAATACACCAACTCCAAAGGATGAATGTAATCATTATACAGTACAAATATATTAATTAAAACATTATTGCTGCTGAGCCATAAATACGAGAAGTCTTCCCATCTTGTGGTGTCTCCAGTAATTGTTTCTGGCTTTCTGCAATTTCTATTTTACAGATTATTTTATTTCCCTATTAGGTTGGTGCTAGATATTTTATTTTACTTTAGAAGCTGCTGTAAATAGAGCTCTGTACTGCTTTCTCGGTGAGGTTTTTCCTAGTGTGTAGGTAAATGTCTATATTTTAAGGTGAACTGTAACATAATACAGTTCTTTGAAACACCTGGACAAAGACTTGAGTCACCTCAATTCCACCTTCTTCTGCATCTCAAATACTTGCATACGTGTGCAAATTTGGGTGGTTGTGTGAGTGTGTGGGTGCATTCCCCGTTATTATGACTCTAATTCCTCAGTGAAATGTTGGGGAAATTGAAGAAAACTACATAAATTCTGCAAGTATTTTTAAGAAAAATTCAACTCATACTTTACGTTTCTTAAAGGCCAAGCAACAAATTCTTATAACTGAGGATTTAGCATAAGATGTTGGTGTAGAGAACTGTAATAATGACTTAATTCTCTTCAGTATTGCTGGCTTCTCTGGCATACAGAATGGAAGAATTCCAGTGTCAAACCATCTGATACAGATTTTTTTTTATCATAGGTGCACTTTAAGAACATGTTTGGTATACATACTGCCAAAGTGAGCACTAGAACTTTTTTGGTGTGGGTATTGTTCTTTTCTCCCTGCTTTCACTAGTAGAGGTCATATTGGTAAAGTAGATTTCCCTACACATATAAAATATTAAACGCAATTCATTGCATGAACCACCCCAAATTAATTGGTTTATCTCTGCAGATAACTCTAATGATGTCCAAGTTGAATTGTTACCATTGTGTTCATATTTAACTTATGTCTCTTTGAAAATTATTTCCAGACACTATGCTCCATTCCAATGTTCTGCTAATAACTGAAATGATGGCATGGCCTCAGATAAAGCAGAGGATATGAATGGATTTTGGTTAGCAAATTTCATAGGGAAGCAAGACACACAAAGATTCACGCATAGCTCCCTGTTGGTCTCATACATGCCAGGACTCATCATTGCCTGTCTCTCAAGAGCCGTCTTTCTGCAGGGACTCAGACGAGTCAGAGTATCTCAAAATTCTCCTGGGAACAGGAGATCTCTTGGGAAATGTTGGCAAGAAAGTTATAATCATTGTAGACAACTGTCATCTGGGAGAAAGGTTGTCAGAACGATTCTCAGCTCTCTGATCATGCACCGTTGCTGCTCCTGGTGAAATAATTGCAGATCTGCAGGGAGGTGAAGTCGCAGAGTCACAGACCCATATTTCAGGAACTCGTTGCCTCCGTCCGGTGCACAACGCAGTCACAGACACCATCACACTGAGATCCGTATCCTGGCACAGAGAAAGAGCCTGGTGAGTATTTCCGACTGCAAACTGAGAGGAAGCTTATAAGGGAAAATTCATACGAAGGTGTTAGTCAGAGATTTGAAATAAGGGATTCTGGGTTGTGCCTGAGTAAGTGCTGAAGCAAGACACGACATAGACAGTTTCCTGAGGAATGGGCTTGAACAGTGCAGATCAATAGATTTCCTAGACCCTGAACCCACTCCTGTGGGCGGCACCTTTGCACAAGTGATACTAAATTAATTGTTTATCATATTGCTTGAGATGCTTCGGTATGTTGTTCTAAAAGTGAACAGGTTGCTGTATATAAAGTTTCTTTTAATATAATTTAGTATACAGAAGACAGAGTATAATGTTAATACTCTAACATTTCCATGAAAAATTATCAAAGATTACTATTGCCCCAATACACACACACACACACACACACACACACACACACACACTGGAAATATGGGTGGTGATGGATTGTTGATAAATTGTGGTAATAATGTATAAGTACATATGCCAAAGCGTTAGAGTTTATATGCTGGAAATATACAATTTTTGCAGTTGACATATGAAAGTATTCCTCAAAATTTGTAAAGGGGAAAGCACATAGAAGTGCTGACTGCTTAAATATTAAAAGAAAAATCTGTTCTTCAGCCAGTATTTCTGAAAATATAGAAAAACTACCAGGTTTTTCATTCAGTGTTTATAATTCCAACACATCTAAAAAAGAAAGCATTGGGTGAATTCACAATAATTTAATCCTACTTAAAAAATGTATCTGAACTGTGCAATTGTTCAAGCAGAATTTTTTTTCTCTAATCGGTGGAAGGGTAAGAAACAACTAAGAGAAAAGGAAATTGTATCTGTTCTGAATAGGTACAGTCCATTGAGAATCCTGTGGTTATTTAATCTCATCATTACGGAAGGAACATTTAAGGAAAAGCTAGCATAACAATTATGCCATTTACACTGCAGCTGTCAGGAATATATCATCTTATTTCCACATGTTTAGAAACATTTCTATGGATAATTAATACTTAAGCAACACATATAAATATTTGACAGAGGGGAATCTGATTATAGAAGTATATGGAAAATCCTTATATTTTCTTTTAAATTCTTCTGAGCCCGCAAATATCTTAAACACTAATGTGTATTAAATATCTATTACACTAACATATAAAGTACATGATAACCTATATATAGAGCTAAATCTAATCTTTTAACTTTTAAAAATAAATATTCACTTCTTCCATTAAAAAATATATGTATGTGTCTGCTTCAATATCATTCGCAAGGGTCCAGGGAGTTAGCTCAGTAGAATAAGTGCTTGCCTGGCAAGAGCAGGGTCCTGAGTTTAATCCCCAGGACCACTATATATATATATATTTTTTTTTTCAGAAATCATGTGTAATATTACAACTAATTTCACTTAACTCAGGTATTTATTAGCACATAAATATATGATCTGAAATTAATCATAACTCTGTTGCTACTGTACAAGTTTTAGTATTTAGTATTTCTTAGAATTTATGCTCCAAAGTGGAGTACCTGACATGATTAAAGAGCAGTTGCCATGATAGGTGACAATTCACTTGTTCCTAACAGAAAGCCAAAAAAATCATTCGGTTGCTCTCCTGGCATTGAGTCTTTTTGTCTCATTGTACATAATCTGATACGGGGCAGCCCCCCTGCACCAGGACACTGCCCTCAGGGCATCTATATTTAACAGTCTCTGTGCTTACCCATAACTGATCAATACAGTGAATATTTACAAGCAAGTAGAAATTTGTCACAATAAAATTATCAAATACCACTACTTCAGAAAATAATAGAGTTGTACACTACAAGGAAAACTAAAGGTAGTGTTAGATTTCTTGGTGAATCCAACTAAAGAGCTTTTAGGGGAGCATGGTTCTTCACTGTACTATCTCTGACACCTCAAGCCAGGGTCACAGTACCACCCTATCCACCATCAGAGCCTGATTACAGACAAATATTTAACCTTTCTATGTGCTAGTTCTCTTCATTAGCCTAAAGTCATAATACTGCCTGCTTCATAGGTTATTAACAATGAAACTATTATAATGGGTGATTCCTGCATAGCAGTGATTTGTATTATATATGCTTTATAAACATATAAATGAACTCTTCAAATCGTCTTGGTGAAGGAAAACACTGAGCAAATACTTTTCAATGGGACTGGTGGTGGGTAGGCACTGCTCATCCAGTTGGCTCAGTACATGCAGCCCATGCCTCTCCTTCCCTTGCAGGGTCCTCGGGCTCAGACAGCAGGGTACAGGTAGGATGGAAGCCAGTGGTTTGACTATAGCAATGATCTACTTGCTGCAAACTGTGATTGGGGTACTGGGCAATTCCTCTCTTCTCTACCATTTTCTGTTTCTTTACTTCACTGGGTGCAGGTTAAGGCCCATAAACCTGATCCTTAAGCACTTGATTGGAGCCAACCTCTTAAGTCTCCTGTGTAAAGGAGTGCCCTACACAGTGGTAGCTTTTGGTGGGCAAGTTTCCCCTGGTGATGTGGGCTGCAAACTTCTGTTCTACCTGCACAGAGTGGGCAGGGGTGTGTCCATTGGCAGCATCTGTTTCCTGAGTGTCTTCCAGGCCATCGTCATCAGCTCCAGGGAGGCCAGGTGGGCCAATCTGAAAGGGAAAGTTTCCAAGAATGTGGGCTTCTTCTTATGCCCTATATGGGTCCTGTACAGCCTTGTAAATGTTATTTTTCTTATATACATCACTGGGAGCAGACACAAGGAAAACATCACAAACCTACAAGATTTTGGATACTGTTATTCTATTCATCATGACAAACATGCACAGTTATTGCACGCAGTCTTGCTGTCCCTCCCTGATGCTCTGTGTTTGGAGCTCATGCTCTGGGCCAGCAGCTCCATGGTTTTCACCCTGTACAGGCACAAGCAGCAGATGAGATACATGCATAGAACTAATGTCAGCCCCAGTTCTTCTCCTGAGTCCAGAGCAACCAAAACCATCCTTCTCTTGGTCAGTACCTATGTCTGTTTTTACACACTCTCCTGTATCTTTCAAGTTTACCTGTCTCTTACGTATAATCCCAGCTGGTATTTGGTGAGCACAACTGCAATTGTGTCAGTATGTTTCCCAAGTGTCAGCCCCTTTCTGCTGATGAGCAGTGACACCAATGCATGCAGGTCCTGTTTTGCCTGTGTAAGAAATAAAAATAGCCCTGATCTGTTGAAGAACATGTAAATTGCAATTTTTGCAAAATCATTAGTTGCTTATTAAGCCATCCCACAGAATTTTAATTGCAGGTATATTTATATCACATAAGGAAGGTATTTTATATGATTTTGTTTCCATATCAGATATGTATGAATACCTAAGCCTATGTTTTTTCTTTCAGGCAGGAGCATGTATGCACTTATATCACTTGGTTTGTTATTATCGATCCATCAATAATTTCAGAAACTTGTCTGTAACAAATAAATATTTTGTATTTAACTTACTATTAATTACAAAACAGTTGTTCTGAATATAAAAATCTCCTCCGATTTTTGTTTCATTTCTACTTGGCTGTATAACCCTAATAAATACATGGCTTACATTTTCCATTTATCTACCTTTATGTTGATGTGTCAGCTATGACTGTGGAAATAAATATTCAATGAAATGTAGTCAATGGATTTCACTTTTTTTTTTGGTGGAACTGGGGATTGAACTCAGGCCCTTGCGCTTGCCAGGGAAGCGCTTAGTCCACTGAGCCATCTCCCTTGCCCCACATTTAATTTTAGTCAGTGAAATTAGTCACAATTTTCATGCTACATGGAACATAGATGAAATTAATGATTACATTATTTGTATGAAACCTCACCTATCTCTATTTTCTTTGCATTAACTTTTCCTGAAAGTAACCCTTACAAGTTTTCTGTTTCTGTTCATTTTTGTCATTGTTCCCTGCCTGTGAGATGTTGGTGATTAAACCTCCAGCTTCATTTACACTTGACAAGGGCTCCTTTACTGAGCTACATCAATACCTACTTCTCAAGTTCATCCTTTTAAAAGATAATCTGAATCTAGTTATTTAATACATTTTCAGTTAGCCCTTAACAGTTATGATATTGGATAGTAATATATTTTAATTTTTAATTAATTAATTAATTAATTTGGTACAGGGTCTCACTATGCAGCTGAGATTCATAATGCATCTACTGTCTCAGCCTCCCCAGTGCTGGGATTACACGCGTGTATCATCACATCCGGTTTAGGTGGTCAGCACAGCTCTTCCCGTGGTTTTGGGCAGTACAGCATGAGGTACCAGGGATCAATCCCAAATCTTTGCACTCGCCAGGCAGGCACTCAAACTGCCTAGCTATCTCGTCAGTATATATGCCATACTCAATTAAATTTCATAAATTGGACATACCTCTGTGTGGAGCTCCTATGAAGAAAAACAATATTGTTAGTTTCATAGATGCCTCCTCATACCCTTCATAACATCCAAGGAATGACCACTATTGTGACTTTTAACAGCATAGATCTTTCACCTTGTCTGCATTTATAAATGAAATAGCTGACCATGAATTCTTCTGTTTGACTTTAAGAATTACACAGGCTTTAAAATGTACATATTCTCATGTTGTGGGTGATAGAATTCAACTGAATAGATAGGAAAACTAATTTAAGCATTCCCTTCCTGATGTACATATTCTATACTTTGGATATGATTTAAGTTTTTTTCCGAAAGCTTCCCAAGGTGGAAAGTTCTGCTTCTCTTGGCAAAAGGAAGAAACCTTTTTCCAGGAGGATTTCACTGCTGTGTACAACCTTCCCAAGTGCCTGTCCCAGCTCCGCACCTCCGGGGCCTCCAGCCGCTAGGTGGCGCCGCACCAGCTCCAGCGCTCACCCCGCCTTGTGGCGTTTTCTCGCGGGAATTTGAGGGAGCGTGGTTCGGGCTCTACCTCCCGAGCAACCTAAGCTCCAAGCTGCGTACTGGACAAGGTAAGGAACCCAGGAAGGAGTCCAGTGTTAACTCCTGGTTAAAGTTAAGGAAGCCCGGGCTTGGACGCCAAGAAACATGGGGTTTCGCACCCCAGGTTCCCCGCGCCCCGCGCCCTGCAGGAACTTCCGCCCCTTCCCTGGCATCTTCGTCCAAGTCCGGGTGCGTCTTCCCGGCATGCGGCATTATGGTTCCGCTCTGCACAAAATCGCCCTGCGCCTTTCTCCTGTCCCCGTGCACACCCAGCGAAGTGGCCGAGCAGCACACTTTGCCTCTTGAGTGCTGCAAGCAGGAGCCCCAGAGCTTGGCGAGCCCCTCTGTGCCGCCTGACCCCCAACGCTGGCAGTGCCCGACCCCGTTCTGTGCCCGGAAGCCGGGGTGTGCTGGAGAAGCTGGAGCTGGGGAAGCGCTAGAAGATTCAGAAAGAGAGGTTTACCTGTGATTCATGACGTCACACACATGTCGACGTCATAATCAGTCCAAAGTGCGTGCATTTGTGTGAGCGCGTGCGCACGCGGCTGAGTGCGAGGAAAGCAACTCTATTGTTCTGAGACGTTTCTACTTGGATTTCTTTAGAAGTGAGCGCTGTGAATAGGTGTTTTTCTTTCTTTTTTTTTAAAGATAATTTTATTGAGAAATAAGTAGCAATGAGATAGTTTCAAAACAGGTCAGTAGTACAGTTACGATAATTAATGCATTGCATATTGTCATCTTTGTGGTAGTTATTCATAGTACAAAAGGCAGACATATCTTGCCTAAACACTATTAGTTAAAAACTTCTCATTGAACTAAGAGAAAGTAGCTGTATATCTGTGCTATTTTGTATATACATATATAGATAGATAGATTTTTTTTTCCACTACAAAATGGTCCTTCATTTATATCCCCCTTTTTTGTTTCCTTTTGTCAGAGACTAGGACCATGCTTGGAATTCCTGTCATTCTGGTCTTCTAAAAGCGTACTGCTTCTAATATATCACTTACTGCTGCACTCTCTCTCTCTCAAGTAAATCTTTGTTTTAAAAAAACGTAATAAATGAAAACAAGAGACAAGAAAAAATGTCATAGGACTGTTGTTTCTTTTCTTCTTTGCTGCTGGTCATGTTTTACTTTGGAATGGCCCATCTCAATAAATCTTTATTTATTGAGGATTCTTTTATTTGTGGCTTTTCTCAGTACACCGTGTCCTCTGTTCTCGATACTACAAACTAAAAAGGTCTTTTTAATGTTGGTATTCATGTTGTATTGCAACTATTGTATTTTATTTAAATGTAAATATCTACTCTGCATTTGAGACATTCCGTGGTTGACACCTACATGTCAAATGAGCCAAAATTACCATCAAATGAGATTAAAAGTAATTTTGTATCATAAAGAGCGTGACTGTAGTTATGTTATTAACTTGTTGGTTGTCTTTGTAGCGTTAGAGTTCTGTGCCTTAATATGCTATATATTTTAAATGTATTGGATTGTCTGTGAACTTCAAGATATATTGCAATTTCCTCAGAAGTGCTTTCAGTCTTTATAACTGGTTTAAATGTTAATTAAAATAGTCATTCTTTGTGTCACACACACAAAAAATGATAATGTTGGTATTCAATGGTACCCAGCAATGCCTCCTTGACACCACAAGTCTTGTACTCTACATTCCATGAAGCTGGCACCATGTCCATTACAACAGGGTGTGACACTACTATAAACAAAAACCAGGACCCCTAAGATCATGACTGTAGTGGTCTTTCAGGATCTGGGAGGGTAAACACCATCCAATGTATTCCAGGAAAGCAGTTCCCTACATGTCCCTCCTCAAGCAGGACATGTAGGGGTTGTCTTTTCAAATGAAAGCTTTGTGGTTTTGCACACTTGATCCTGTGAACTGTGAGGTCTTGGTGATAGGTAAGCTGTCCTCAAGCCATCTTTCCTATTGTCCTGATGCAAAGCATGTGACTCCTTTGTAAGGTAATGTTTTGGGCAAACATGGTATCCATGGCCCATCTTCATGGGAACTGTACTACTTTTCTGATGAAACTGCAAACTTTTCATATCTTACTGCAATTCACTCCACCTTCAGACTACTGCCATTGGTCTTATGTGGCCTGGTCATTGTGATGTGATATTGTATGTTTTGCTCACATTTATGAATTAGAGGAATATAAGATTGAAATGTGGAAGGAAGAAACATTTAAGGCTTTTGTTATGGTTTGTGTCCAGTTGTACCCCCACAGCCTCATGAAGTCATGGGGCAGACCTGTAGAGTGTGTGATTAAATCATGATCACTGGGATTATGGGTATGAGTGCTGCTGGGATTATGGGTGTGAGCGCTGCTGAGATTATGGGTGTGAGTACTACACCCAATCAGGGTCAGATATCCTGAATGCAATTTAAGGGAATAGACTTGCTCTCTGTTGCCATTGTTACTGCTACTCCTCTCTTTTGCTCTTGCTTTTTGCTGCCTCTGTGGATGACTGGTCTCTGCCACATGCTGCTCTGCCTTGGAGCCAGCTGAGTAGACTGATGCCTGCAAGTAACTGTCAGCGAAATAAACCTTTCCTTCCCTAATTTTGAGTGTCAGGTATTTGTCCCACCAATGACAAAAGAGTAAGAGGGAAAACTGTGATGTTTTCAAATGCAAGTCTCCAATGTTGTATATGCATTGGTCAAAACTAAAACCCATAAGAGTAAGCCCAGTTATTGACTCTATGAGTGGGAATTCACTTTATATACTTACTCACAAAAGCATTTTCCAGTTCCCTTAGCGTCTTATGTCTGGCATGCCAAAGCCTGCCTTCATGAAGCAGAGGCTGGTGGAACTGAGAATCAGAACCCACTGCAACTTTGTATTCATCTACCCAGATGCCTCATAGTCAAAGCTTTGAACATTGGTGGACAGGTAAAAATTACCTCAGCCTTTGGTAGTTGAGGGTCCAGTAAAGTTGTTGATATTTATTCCAAATTTGATGTAATTAATGTTGCTACTGAAAAAAATACATGATAGCCTACACCACACTATGCAGCCTCAATTTCAGTATTTGGAAGGTGCCAGAAGCTGCACACACTGGACCACTGTGGACAGAATGGTAAGAATTAGGGTCTACCAGCTGATGGCAGTAAATGAAGCAGATCACTGTTGTGGTCAGTATCTCCCTCTCCAAGGTTCTGCAAGCCCTGATACACAATCGGGTGCCCACCCAAACAAGACAGAGGCAGAATAACCAAGGTGAATGTAGATGCCCTCTTAGAAGAAGTAGAACAGTTTCTCACATTTTCCCTCAGAAGCACTGGCTGCAATCAGAGAGTAAAACAGCTAAAAATGTATACAGCATTTACTGATGAGTATTTGTAGGGTTATTGAACCAAAACAGACATGAGCATCAGTGGAGAAGAATAGATTCTGAAGAAACAACCCTAAACACATTCAACTATTTGATTTTTGTCAAAAAGGCCAGAAACTTACACCACATTAAACATAAACTCCTTGATAAACAATTCAGGGGAATTTGACTATCTGCAGGCAAAATATTGAATCTAGATACATGTCACTCGTCAAACTAAAATCAAAATTGATCAAAGACTAAATCGTAAAACTGAAATATTTAACTCTTGGAAGAAAAACAGATATAAACTCTTGAAGTCATAGGCATAGGCAAGCACGTCCTGAAACAAAAAATTCGTTGCCCCCAGAATAGTACTGATAGTCAATGAATGGGGTCACATCAAATTAAAAAAGCTTCTGCATAGCAAAAGAAACATGAAAAATGCAAAGCATACACACAGAACAGATGAAGGTTTGGCCAGCTGTTCTTCATAGCTAGAATGTATAAAGAAGTAAAATATTTTATATTCCCTTCACCCCCAAAATAAGACCCAATCACAAACTAGGCATGTGAAATGAATATACACTTTACAGAAAAACTATAAATGGTCAATGCATCTATGAAGAAAGGTTTACTATTAGAGAAACACTAATTAAAAATCCAGTGAGATTGCATTTACTCCAGAAAAAAATGGCCATCGTCAAGAAATAAATATGAAATACTGATCAGACTATAGATAAAAAAGCAACAGTTTTACACTGTTGGTGAGAATGTAAACTAGTACAACCTCTATGGAAATCAGTAGGAAGATTTCTCACAAAACTGAAACTACCAATTCCATTTCACACAGCTATTGCCTTTTGTCTTAGCTACTCTTCTGTCATTGCTGGGACAAATACTCACCACTCAAAATTATTTAGCTCAGTTACCGGAAGTTTCATGTTTTAAAACAGCATGAATTACATAACAAGACCTCAGAGCCTTATTTGTCTGTCTTCTCCAAACATCTCCTCTCTGCCTGTGGTGGCCTCAATCACAGACACCGCCACCCCATACTACAGGGTCCAGAGAAGCTGGGATGTCACCGCGTCCAAGATGAACAACTTCACACCTCCAAGAGAGGCCACTGGCTGAGGGGACAGTGCATACTGCCAGTCTAAGGGTTCGTGCATATCTGGCCTCACCCCTCAAGCCACTTGCTGCTCCTTGAGCTGCATCTGCCCCATGATTTACATGAGGCTTTGGGGGAACAACTAGACACAAATCATAATATCTTTCTTCCCAAAATAACTAAAAACATCATAATACAGTAATACTTGCATACTTACGTTTATAGCAGCAAAATTCACAATATTAAAAGCTGCCTCTATGTCCTCCTGATGTTGGTTTCCTAATTCTCTCCTTTGTTGCTTGCCCTGTTAAGCAGTTTCTTTCTGAATAAATTTCAAATTTAAATACAACAAATATCATATGTGGTAGCAAAAATTGTGTCCATGGTCTAAGAAAAATAAATTATTGTTCTATACACACTAGGCTTATTGACAAATGACAAATCATATTAAACCTATGAATAATTTTCATTAAAATTTGCATACTTATGTTTACAGAGAAACAAAAGACAGGGAAATAGGAAGATAGACAGGTACAAGGAGAGATAGAAGAGACACACAGAGAGAAAATTATTTATTATGATTAACTCTTACACATTGCATAAGTGAATTAGACATGGTAAATATTGCAGTGTAAATTTCAAAATAAAGAAGTTAACAATTGAAAATAAACAATTTAAATATTCCACATTGTTATTAAACAGAAAATTTCGAATAAAACCAGTACTGAGTATCATCAAACACCACCCACATTGCTAAGGTGCAAATGACAGAAAAGAGCAAGTTTGGTGAAAACATGGGGAAACCAAGAACTTGTCCATGCAAAACAGATACAAGTGTTTTGGGAAACCTTTTTGGTAATATCTTGCATAATCTGGAAATGTAATTTCAATTTTATTTTTGATCTCTTTTTTCAGCATATAATAGTTTTCATTCTAGGGGTCTTTCACTTCCTTGGTTAGGTTAATTCATAGGTCTTTAACTGTATTAGAAGCTATTGTGAATGAGAACTTTGTTTC